CTGCTTATAGAATCATTGGTTACCTTCCTTATGCAATGGCTTCTGCCACAATGTTGCATATTATTGATATACTACAACCCTGCATTGGAGACAAGTACCAAGAAAAACTTTTTGACATCCTTGGTATTGTCAAGGAAAAGGGAGTCAAGAAAATGACCATTAATTAAATTGATATCTTTNCTTAAATTATTTTCTTAATAGGCTAGTGATCTATCTACTTACGTTTACATTATGTATAATGTTCAATAGCAGTACTTGTCTCACTTAAAAAAATATCTTGTTCTTTTATGTGTCTGCACAAATATATTTTTGAGCTTTTATTTCTTTATCTTTTCAAATCTTAACTATTCTTAGTCAATTGATGCAAAACAACTCTGAATTGAATTTTCATGATATGCAAGGGTGTGCCGGATCTAATACTCCTTCACCGGTTGATGCAAGTAGTGCACGAGCTATAAGAGGCCAAAATCTACGACATTCTTCTGGCTCAACTCATGCTCCGAGTCTTGAAAAGGTATTTATATTTCACACTTCCAAAAAACTACTTCAATTTTAACTTACAAAACCATGCTTTTCTAAATTATTTGCTTTTGATGGTTTTGTTACATGATAGCGCTAGTACAAAATCATGCAATTGTGTTATTCTAATTGGGATTTACAAAGACTCTTAAAAAAAATTGAGTCTTTTTGCTGAGTTTCATCAGTTAAGAAAAAAATAATATCACTTTCAGACCTTTACCATATTCTCACTGCTGTAGTTCCACTGTATGTAGCAATGATCTTTGCTTATGGTTCAGTAAAATGGTGGAAAATCTTCACCCCAGATCAATGTTCAGGGATCAACAGATTTGTTACTCTTTTTGCTGTTCCATTGCTATCTTTTCACTTCATTGCTTCCAACCATCCTTATGCAATGAACTATATGTTCATAGCTGCTGAGTTCAAGAGGTTCCCTTGAATGGTCCTTTGTTAAAGGGTATGTATGGTGAAGCCTCATGAAGTTTAATGGTCCAAATCATTGGGTTTCATTCTTAAAAAACAAAACTCTCCCACTTAAAGATCAATAACTTTATCACTGGCATGAAAGAGAAGTTAGTATCAAATCCCCTTTTGTTCTTAATAGGTTTAAATCCACTAAAACATAAACTTTATCCCAACTTTTGGAGCCAAAATGCTAGCATACAGTAGTTTTTTTTCTTTATACCCACTGGTCCTACGAAGGGAGGGGCTATTAATTTCTCACCCCTACTAAATCTCTAAGTTTTTTTCCTTATACCCACTGGTCCTAGGAAGGGAGGAACATGAACAACTTTTGTTTTGTGTGGTAAAGCACTATTCTTAACTGTCTATTTTTTATTTAGTAGAATTGTCTGAAGCCTACAATTAAATTATTGTCGATTTGAAATTCACATAAGTTGATATCCGTTAGAATTATGAGAGATTTTGGTTCACTTCCTAATCAAAGAAGTTAGAAATTATGATATTATTATTAACAGTTTTTAATTTGCTAGATTGATTGCCATATATGTTAGGACCAAATTCATCTTGGCTAGCTATTGCACTTTTACATTTGATCCTTATCTAAAGTAAGAATCGTAAGTTAAGTTGCAGATGCAAGTTGAGATAAGTGCACAGAATTTTCAAGTAAAATGTATGTTAATTTACATTTTTGCNATATATATATATATATATATATATATATATATATATATATATATATATATATATATATATTACATCCGATTTCGTAGAGTTCTTTCCTAGTGAGCTTCTTGAAGCAGTGGTTTATTACTATGGGTAGTACACAAATTATGTTTCTTTGTTGAAGTTTGTTTCAACTATATGCATTTTAATTATTTTTATTATGTTACTTATTATCAAATTTAATACTTGAGATCATAACGTATATGCTTGAAATAAATATGAATACAGAACTTAATGTAAACAAATATAATTTTTTAACCACAAAATTATGGCTAATTTAAATATTTAAAAAATTACTTTATAGTGTAGATAAAATTGCCACTCTTAGAAATTGTGGCCATAGGGATTGTCAATCTGGCATTGTTCATGATAAATTTTGCTTTAGATGCCATGCTTTAAAAGCATGGTCTATATGGTTACAAAGATCACGCTTCAAATGTGTAGCCTTATGTCATTAAAGCGTGGCTATATGAGAAAATATAAGTGTGGCCGTTGTACCATATCGGCCACACTTTTAAAGCGTGGATTCTAAGGCAACACCTACAAAGCGTAGCCAATAGTCAAAGGTACGGTACTTTAGGCCACCCTACCAAAAGCGTTGCCTAAAGTCGTAAAGTGTTACCTTTGATCAAATGCTACACTTCTTGGCATCTTAGGCCACACTTCCCAGGAGTGGCTAGAGGCCTAAAATGTTGTAATGATATATTCTGTTATTCCATGTGTACCTTTAAGATAAATATTTTCAATTCCCTTTTTCTTTTCTTTTTAAACTATATTTATTTTTATTCAATAGATAAAAATAAATGCATAGTGTATATATATTCACTTTTCCAAACCAAAAACAAGTTTGTGGTGTATTTAGTTGATATTTCTCCATGCCCTTGATATCATTCCACCATGCACAATTGTTATCTTCCTTCTTTCTCTTTTTTCCCCCTTCCGTTTCCACCTAAATATAGTTTAAAAAGAAAAGAAAAGGGAATTGAAAATACTTATCTTAAAGCACATTTTTATTATTTTTCCTATACTTGTCCAAATTACGAATATGAAAATGCATTCCCAAATTTGCAATGGAATAATACAAATAAAGTCTAGATTCATAGCTACAAAAGAGGTATTGAAGGAGAGGTACACATGGAATAACAGAATCCATTAATATCACAATCAAGTGACATCACTATATATGTATTCTCAATTAATATTGGTGACATAATTTTAAAAGTTACTATTTTTAGCTTTTAATTACTACATGACAACAAAATATAGGAATTTATTGGAGAATTTAACAACTCCTATTAGCTAATCAAGTTGTCTTCTGTTGTTTTCATTTTCTTGACCGACAATAGTGATAATAAGGTAGCACATGCAAGACATGTTCATAACGTGAGCTCTCGACAAATCGTGAGAAGTTTCTTTCTTCTATTCTTTTAACCATTAATACGTTAGAAAGTTTGTTTTGCCACCTCTCTATAACAACCTCGTTTGTTCCGAATATTTTTGGATGTTATAGCGTAGTGTTGTTGCAGGACTTCTGCTAAAGGGGTTCAAAAAAAGAATAAGTTAAAAAATATAAAGAGATTGTAACTAGTGAAAATTGAACCATCGACCTCATAATAGATTTGAACTCCCTTAACCACTAAGCCATGCTTTTGGGCTGTGAAAAGGGGATTCAAAACATAATATATAGAGACAAATACCAGATTTTTTCTTATACACATAGTGTAATTTTTCGGCGAAGGGGGTTCGGGTGAACCCCTAAATTTGCCCCTGGCTGTTATAGAGAGGTCTGACTATATCTTTCTATATGTACTTTAATCTTTTATTATCAGTACTATTGTTATGTGATATACTGATATTTATTGGAATCATGATCATGTTCCTGGCTTGAAAAATAATTGAATAAATACAAATATCAATGTCAATCGGCAGACATTATGAGCATATATGAATATGCCTGAAACCTAAGTGTGGGGTAAGTTCAGCCACTGTTGTTCACAGGATAAATAATTGGAGGCAGCTTTAAAAGTGATTCGTTATCTCAAAGGCTTTAAGTGTCAACACGAATTGACACGAAACAATAAGAATTTATTCTTTGTTAGATTCTTAAATTTAGTAAATAGGCATGATAGGTTTGACTATTATAAAGAAAAAATCGACAGAACCACGAACGCCCCTCCTTCGAAGTCTCTCATTAACTCGAACCCACGACCTTGAGGTTATAAGTAGGGGCGCTGACACGGGGCGGATGCATATTTGATGAAACAATGTTACATGACACCGCTTCGTCGGAAAATTTTATTGCATATATGTATTAATGCTGTAAGAAAACTGATAAGTAGTCAAAAATGACACCCCTTGACATGAATTGTCGTTGGTTATCTGCTTGATTTTGCTCACAAATATTTGAGAGAGCCTCTATAGTTAAAATTGTCCTCAAGAAAAATTGAACTCGAGACCTTTTCTAACTTAAGACTCAACAAAACCAATAGATTAAAAATATTTCTCCAAAAGTATGATAATTAAAGTTATTATTCTTGTTCTTTTATAAATTTCGACACTTTTTACAAAAATTCTTGCGTACGCCCTTGCTTACACCGTCTTGTCAGGTTATTACATTAACAATATCAAATATCTAATTTAAGAAAAGGAAGGAAATATAAACACTTGATCCCTACACAACTAAGAAGATTAAAGAATACCAAATGTAAGAATCAAAGCAAGCATAGTTTTTCACGTGGGGCTTCTACGTGAAGATCAAGGATAAGGAAAAGAGACGAGGAGAATCAGAGAATTGAAACTCAAAAGGATCGACGCGAAACGATAAAAGTTTATGCTTTGTTGATTCCTAAATTTAGTGAACGGACATAAATGTTTCTTCTAATTCCGTAATATTTATTAACAAAATAAATGGCAGATTGACTAATAGGTTCATGATTGTTACAACTAACGGTTAAAAACAAGAGAGGCACTCTAACACTGTCTTGAGTTGATTATCAAGCATAAGGAACTACTCAAATTATCTGATTTCAGGGTGGACAGTGGTCACACAAGTGAAATTGACGACAGAATAGAGGCCTACATTTACACACCACCTCTCCTAATACAGAGGGCATGGGGTGGTGAGAAAACAGAAACTATAAGGAAAAAAGGGACCAAGAAGGATCACTTTCCCTAAGAAAACTTTGCACAAAAAAATAGTCTGAACTATATCATAAGCAAAGGAGAACAGACGCACGTACTTTCTCCCAGCAGTGACCTAATAGCAGAAATCATGCAGTTGTTAAGGCAAAACACCGTTGGATTCAAAAGGCAAATCCACTAAATCAGGTCAACAAAAGTTTCAAAATAAGATACAAGCTTAAAGCTTTGCTAGTTTACCCTGTGAAACAAAAACCATTCATATTGCCAATGACAGCAATGACACTGTAGATCCCTGAATCTCCTAGTGTTTCTAAGTTGGAACTGTAAGATGCATCACGGCTAATGTGCTTAGCATCCAAGTTTTGGCTGAGGCAGTAAAGATTAGATTGATATACAGGAGTCATTTGTAGCACTCTATTCATGATCACCAGATAATAGTCAGGTGCTTCACAAGCATATGTACATCGATGACAGAATGAAACTATTTCACTCACTCTTTAGTTTGAACAAGACTACTCAGTACTCAAATGTGGTTGCTGAACCTTGATTCTGTCATTACTGAGCACATCCAGATAAATTTTATCAGTAAGTGAGAAAAATAATCATATTCAAGACAAGAAGCAAATGCAAAGCTCGGAAATTTTAGCAGATACAAAAACTGAGAAAAGAGATTCCTATTTAACCATATAACATTTTATCTGGAGAATTTACCAAGTATGTCTATATCAAAGAATTTATGCTAGTGCAAGAGTCGAAATGGTGATAGTGTAGGAGGTAAGGAATAAGAAAGAAAAATTCAAATATCAACTACAACAACAATTAATAACATAGAGAGACAGATAAATTGCTAATACGTGCATTCACTAAGATGGGGAAAAAATGAATTATTCCACTCACCATTCAAGATCCTTTAGATCAGCTACAGCCTTCTCCAGTGCATATAAAGCCATCTTCTTCACCTAATGCAGAAGGCGAACATGAAATTTTATACCCCCACAGCAAATACTGGTAACGAACTTCATAAACAAAAAGGAAAACTTTAAAATTCAAATAATAAAAAGGTATAAGTTGTACTTTCCGCCCCCTCTTTTTTTCCAGTTTTCCTCGACCAATTCACCACCTAATTTCACTTTACAATGTTCTTCCTCTATGTTCAGCAAACAGCAAAATTTGTCCTCACCACTAGCTTGATTTATATTTCAGTTTATTCTCATCTAGGCATAACCTCTCCTTCCACAGAGCTACGACTAATATGTTGATTAGCTCAACTACTACTGAAGATCCCCACTGTAACACCTAAATTATTGATTAGCTCGAGTAAATTTAAAGAGTTACTGAAGATCATCAACAGAAGTATTTGGCATGCCTCTGGAATCAAAAAATAGAACTCACCTCCAATTTGTCCTCTTTAGCCCTGTGCTTTCCGGGAAGAAGACGAAATTCCTCAGTCAAGCGAATGCACTCGCCCACATTTTCAGGTGAGACAAAATCAAGAGCAACCTTTATACATGACTAATGCCCCCAAAAAAAGGATTGAGGCAGATGAGATAAAAGGGGAAAACAGAATCATGATACCGAAGAAGCAAGAAACATTATAAATTTATTCATGTGTCTCGCTAGTGTGTAATTAAACCAAGATCAGAAATATTTCACCACACCACACTTCCTGTTCAAGCTGCTAATTGTAATAGCCAGGAACAGTTCACAGTTGTAACTTAAAAGTTTATGTAAGAGTTCAATTGTGGTGATATGCACTTTGATAGTTCCAGTAATGCAATTGATTGCATAAGCAAGAAGTAGCCTCGAAAAAATGAGTTACAGCAAAAACAAAAATTCATAGCTGTTACTAGGTACAGAATATTTGCTATCAATCAGATATGTGATGACTGTATGTTGAGTTCCATCGTTAACATTTTGCATTAAAAGGTTTCCACTATAAAATTCCAAAGGACATCAGAAGATTATAAGCAGACAGTGTTAAGGTTCATGTAGCATGGATGTGCATGAAGATGAGAAAATAAACATCACAGAGTTGTTTTAAGAAATCTATCATGCCAAACCCATAGTGAAAAGAAAATAAGTTAATTTTCCAATCTTTTCTTATGCCTCTGGTTCATTTTCCCCAATTTCTTTGTGCGTGACTGGACATTTTTTATCAGGTTGGGAACTGTGGACGAAGCAAGCAATATGGTACATGTGAAATAGCTTCTATAATTAGGTTCATGATTAAGAATGATATGGCATAAAAGTGACAAAAGAATATTGTACCTTAAGATTTCTAACTTGATGGGGACAACCAGCAGGTATGAAAACTGCTTCTCCAAGTTTTTGTACAAATGTCCACGGTTCAATGCCTATAGTACCAAAATAAGTTACTAAGGAAAGCACAAGACCGATGAAGTTTAAATAGGTAACGCACTAACCAAACTCTTGCTTGAGTTTCTTCATGTGATATGCGGTTAAGTAGAAAACTTGATCATGAATTGGATGAACAACCTACAAAGTTAAATTAACAAAACAATGATCATTGATGACGAACATTTCAATTAGATAAATCCTTAAATGACTTAGCAGTATCGGAATGTGTATGTTCTATTTACGACCAAAAAAAAATTGACCAGAGAAAGAGTTAAAGAATTTGATAGAAAAAATAATTCTTGCAACTACATATTGCACTTTACAAGTTAATGATCAGCAAAGTAAAGAAGATAACACAACTATCACCAGCCAGCATGCACTGGCTATACTAATGTACTTTGCTTTCTTTATTTTTTCAAGGATATATCATTTGTTTATGTGATTGAGGAGAAAAACACGGCATATACAAGTTATGCACAAAAATGACAAGATCATGGAATGAGACATGCTTCTCTACAGAAAAACATCCAATCCTCACAGCTCACTGGAATGTCTCATGTACTCCAAAAGTGTAAAGAAAATGAAGCAAACCACATATTCACATAAGAGCTTCCAATTCCCTAAAACGCTCTTCTTCTTTTTTATAAAGTAAATAAATTTCATTAAGATGTGCGCAAAACCCGTATACAAGAGGTATACCCAAAACAAAAAATAGAAAACCTACAAAAATAGATGTTTTTTTACAAAATGGCTACTACTCAACTGAACAAAGTTCATCTCTACACCTTCGCAAGCTCTTCTATTTCACTCTCTCCAAACAACCCACATAAGTGGGTACCACTCCAAGCCAGCACCTTCTCTTCCTTCTCCCGCACTAAAACTGATAAAATCCACCATTAGAGGGTGGAGAATTGAAGCTGAGATTGAATCGAAGAAGGAAGAAGAAGAAGATTCTGGAAACAACCTTCAATTACAGAGCAAAAATGAAGAAGAAAATACAATGGCTTATCAGCCCTTTTCACTGTACACGTGGGGTATATATAATTATCTTCTAATCACTAACTAATTAACTAACTTGCTAACATACACAACTGTCACCTAACTCACTTTGTCATCCTTCAAGCCTTCATCTGTACAACTGTCACCAGCTTTCACTTTAACCATCTCAACACCCCCCTTCAAGGTGCCATGAAGATGTTCAAAACACCTAGCTTGCATGTCAGATGGTGATGTTGAACACTTCCAAGCCCTTTGGTCAACAAATTTGCTGCCTGTTCTCCCATTGGAACATACATAGGCTGGACCAATCCTTCTTGCACCTTTTCTCTTATAAAGTGACAATTGATCTCTATATGCTTAGTTCGTTCATGAAATACTGGATTGCTTGCTATCTGCATTGCTGCTTTACTATCAGTGAACAACTGAATTGGAATAGGCAATTCAACTCCCAGTTCCTTGAAAACTCCTAGCAGCCAAATCAATTCAGACACTGTCAATGCGATACTCCTGTACTCTGATTCTGTTGAACTTCTTGCTACTGTACTTTGCTTTTTTGATTTCCATGAGATTAAGAACTTCCCAAATTTCACCAAGTAACCTGTTACTGACTTCCTTGAATTTGGACAACTTGCCCAATCCGGGTTCATTCTTTAGGTATCTCACCAATCTATGTGCTGCCTCTAAGTGTGACTTCTTAGGAGCTTGCATGAATTTGCTTTAAGTCTGTACTGTGTAAGCAATATCAGGCCTAGTTAATGTCAAATACAAAAGCTTCCCTATGAGCTTTTGATATCCTTTGACATCTGTGAGTGCTGGATCATCCTTCAAGTGCAGTGTGTATCATACTCAACTGTAACTTCCTGTCCTGCTCCATTGGAGTGATTGCAGGTTTGGACCTTGCTAAGCCCAGCTCTGCTATTAGTTCCACTGTATACTTCCTTTGGCACAACAATATGCCCTTTTGGGATCTGCTAACTTCAATCCCCAAGAAGTATTTCAAAAGGCCCAAATACTTGATTCTGAATGCCTTATGAAGGATTGTCTTAGCTTCTTGGATCATGTCAGCATCATTACCTGTGATAAGGAGGTCATCAACATAAACAAGGATGATGACAAGTTTAGCATTCTTCCTGAACAAAGAATGATCATGCTTGCTCTGTACAAAGCCTGCATTAATCAGTGCCTCAGTGAGCTTCAAATTCCACTGTCTTGATGCTTGTTTTAGTCCATATAAGGATTTGTGTAGTCTGCATGCCTTGTTCCCCCCTTGACTACCAAAACCAGGTGGGAGTTGCATATAAACTTCCTCTTCAAGATCACCTTGAAGGAAAGCATTATAGACATCCATTTGGTAGAGATTCCATTGATTCATGGCTGCAAGAGCAATAACCACCCTAACTGTGACCATTTTAACTACTGGAGAGAATCTCTCCTGGTAGTCTAGTCCCTCTTGCTGACTGTAACCCTTTTCCACTAATCTTGCCTTAAATCTTTCAATCTCCCCATTGGATTTATACTTGATCTTGTACACCCACCTACAGCCAATAGGAACTTTGCCTTTGGGTACATCAACTACCTCCCATGTCTTGTTGAGGTCAAAGAGCATCAATTTCTGTTTTCATAGCTTCAACCCATCTAGGGTTCTGCATTGCTTCAGCATAAGATGCAGGTTCTGTCTCAGAGGTAGCAGCTAAGAAGGATTGGTATTTTGGTGAAAGAGAAGAGTAGTCTAAATAATTGGACATAGGATAGATGCAATTGGGGGATGAGCTTGTCTTCCATGGACAAATATAGTCTTTCAGCCATATTGGTGGTTTTGGATCTCTTAAAGATCTCCTCAATGGAACTGGTGGTTCAGTAGGGTCATTTATAGGCAATGCAGCATGCTGAAGTTGTTCATCAGAGTTGTGCTCATTAATTGCTGCTAACTGAGTATCACAGGCCGGTTCATCAAGTGGAGGTTCAATTGTGGAGGCTGCATCATGTCCTGCATCAGCTCCATTTACTCCCTGATCTACTATTGGTGCAGTTGTCCTTGAGATATTTGCTTGAGCATCATTTATCTCCAGAAACAGTGGCAAGTCTACACCTCTCTTCATTGACTGAAAAGGAAAAATGTTCTCCTTGAAAGTCACATCTCTACTCACAAAAAATCTCCTGGCCTTGAGATCATACAACCTATAGCCCTTCTGAGAGATTGAGTATCCCATGTGAACTGCTGCTACAGCTCTAGGTAGAACTTGTCGACTTTCTCTGTGACTGTGGCATAACACAAACAACCCATAACACTCAAATGCAACAAACTTGGCTTGGACTTATGAAACATCTCATAAGGAGACTTGCCCCCAAAATTGAGGATGGTATCCTATTTATAAGATAGACAACTGTTAACACACAGTCTCCCCAGAAATGTATTGGAGTGCTCCCCTGAAACCTCAATGCTCTTGCCACCTCTAGTATGTGTCTATGTCTCCTTTCCACCACTCCAGTGTGTGGACAGCTGCTCTGGTGAAGAGCTCCAGAACTAGATAAGAAATCCTTACATTCTTTGCTAAAAAATTCTGCACCATTATCTGACCTTAACATTTTAATTGTCTTCCCAAACTGCACATGCACAAGTTTAAAGAATTATTTCAACAAGACAATGGTGTCACTCTTCAATTTCATCAAAAACACCCAAATCATCTTGGAATGATCATCTACAAGTGTTAAAAAGTATCTATTCCCATTGTATGTTGGAACTCTATATGGACCCCAAAATGTCTGCATGAACCAATTGAAAAATATCACTTGCTCTACTATTGCTAAGAGGAAAAGGTCTTCTGATCTGTCTAGCCAAAGGGCATACAGTACAATTATTGAGACTACAATCTAGTAAGTCTTTATTCTTCATAACATCCGGCTTCTTCATGACAGCTGCTAGAATATGTCCAAGCTTTTTATGCCAGGTTTCAACATCAATCTTCACTCATGCTGCAAGACAACTCCTAATCCTTTGGATTTCTTTGCATTTGTCTGTTTTCCTTGGAATTAAGAGGTACAAGCCACCTTTCTCTTTACCAATCCCCTTCACCTTCCCAGTGAACAGGTCCTGGAAGACACAAAATGTTGGGAAAAAATTCACTGAGCATTGTAACTCTCTTGTCAGTTTAGAAACTGACAGCAAGTTATATTTAAATTCAGGCACACACAACACATCATGTATGGTTTCATCGCCTGTAAGTTTATAGCTGCCTTGATAAGTAACAGGAACAGACTTACCATTTGGCAGGCTAATACTACATCTTCTATGTTCAGGTAACTTTACTATATCATCCAACATATTACTGGTTTGAAGCCATATGATCTGTTGCTCCAGTGTCTATAATCCAAGGATCCCTACAGTCTTTCAACAAACTTGAATTATCATTACCTGCCATATTAGCTGTGTGCTCCTCTGCCTTGTCTTTGTTCAGTAACCTCATTATCTGCCCATACTGCTCTTCAGTGAAAAGGTTTGACATTCCTTGAGGCATTTCAGCTTTTCCTTTGTTTATGGCATTCTCTTGAACATGACTACTGCTATTCACAACTGCATTTGCCTGCTTGTACTATTGTTGTCTTCTTCCTTTGTATCCAGGTGGATATCCATGTAACTTGTAACAAGTATCCTTTGAGTGACCTTTGAAGTGGCAATACTCACAGTACAAATCATTTTGCCTTTTAAACTTTGACTGATTTCACCTTGTACTCATGAAAAATGTAGATTCATTCATTTCATTTGCTAAGCTAATATGAGAATTAGACACACAGACTTTTCTTTGATTCTCCTCATTTATTAACATTGCAAATGCACGACTAACTGAAGGTGATGGAGATTGCAGCAGAATTTGACTTCTAATTGCTCCATATGATTCATTTAATCCCATTAAGAACTGAAAAAGCTTTTATTGTTCTAAATGTTCGATAAAGTCCCGTGTACCAGCAGTAACTGGGAGTGAAGGTATAAGAGAACCATATTCATCACATAACGACTTCAACCTAGAGTGATAAACAGAGATACTAGAGGTACCTTGAGAGATTGTGGCTATTTCTCGCTGGAGATTATAGACTCTAAAACCATTGACTTTGTTGAATCGATATTCAAGGTCCAACCAGACTTCATGAGCATTTTCAGCATACACAATGCCATTTACCAATTCTGGAGATACGGTGTTCATGATCCATGTCAACACTGTTGCATTAACTCTCTCCCAGTCCTCGCCCAAATCTTCAGTGAACTGAGACTTTGTACAACTTCCATCAATGAACCCTAATTTCCTCTTCGCTCGCAACGCAATAACCATAGCTTTACTCCAGACGGAGTAATTTTCCGTTCCTTTCAACTGAATTGAAATTATCACATTGCTAGGATTGTCGGATGGTTGCAGGAATAGCGGATGCCTAGGGTTATCAATATCTAAATTCGCCATTGTTGAGCTTCAATTTCAACTCAAGAAGAAAAATCTATGAACTTACAGTATTGTTTTCACAAAGCTAGAAATAGAATTGCTCTGTCCTCGATCGAATCACTCAAGCTCTGATACCATGATAAAATCCACCATTAGAGGGTGGAGAATTGAAGCTGAGATTGAATCGAAGAAGGAAGAAGAAGAAGATTCTGAAACAACCTTTAATTACAGAGCAAAAATGGAGAAGAAAATACAATGGCTTATCAGCCTTTTTCACTGTACACGTGGGGTATATATAACTATCTTCTAATCACTAACTAATTAACTAACTTGCTAGCATACATAGCTGTCACCTAATTTACTTTGTCACCCTTCAAGCCTTTATCTGTACAACTGTCACCAGCTGTCACTTTAACCATCTCAACAAAAACGCTCTTCTTTTCCTCCCTTACATTTTATCCATATCGCCAATGGAACCACCTCCCTTGCTTTCCTTCTTTTTCTATGCCCTTCTATATTTCAATCCAAGTATCAAATATTTCACTGTTTGTGGCATTAGTCATTCAATTCCGAACTATTAGATAATGTGTACAACACCTGATATGTCATCAGATAAGTATAGTAATAAGTGGTAAACATTCCATATGAGAAGCAACAGCTTATATAAATTCCTCAAATTGTTAAACTGGAACTCAATGTTGTCGTCGTAACGAAAATGAGACTTGTCTTCGCAATCTGGGAACCCAAATTGCAGTGAGGGGAAGTTGCTTATTCTCCCTCTCAAATAACATGTTGTTAGTAGGACTAGAATGCGAATGCCCAACGTCCCGTCTCTATTGCTTTCCCATTTCCAAGCGTCCCTTTCCATTAATGAAAGATTTTGCTAGCATAGAACTTCCAACAACCTATTGAGTTCTTCCATTAATTAATCTTGTCAGTTCCTCCTGAAAGTTTGATCCAACACAATTGCACCTTGCCATACTAAATAGCTAATAAATGAATGCTCTCAGTTGGCCGGAGATGTTGACCATGGATGGAAATATTCACGTCAATTGTCCTCATCATTCCAGATAGAGTTGTTTGTCTAGTAGTCCTACATATTAGATGTTGTTTAAGAAGACTTTTCTTTTTCTCTCTGCCAGTCCTTCCACATTGTTCAGATTATATACCTGTACTTGTTCCCTTATTGCTGCATAGTTTTAGATACTCAACCGTCATAGCCATATCCATCATCTTGCCAAGTGCTTCAATTACCGGTATGAATAGCACGTCCCATAGATGATCCCCATGTTGCAAACCCATTGTACTTGCAGAAAAACATGTTGGGTTCCCATTATACCATGACCTCAGGTTTTTAGTTCCATTTTGGTGCACCTACAAGTTCCCTACTTGTATAGATGATTGGTGACTTTTGTAGACAAGCATATTCCAATGTTCTCTACTCTTTGGTATACTTGTATACAAGAGGTTTTTCTCCCAACATCAATAAAACTATTTACCTTATAAAAAAATAACAAATATAACAACGATAATAATAACGACGATGATGATGATGAAGCTGTAATAATAACAATAATAATAATAATAATAATAATAATGACAATAATAATAACAACACGAAAATAGTATAGTGAGATTGCAAACATATCAATGAGACACTCATCCCTATAAAGGTGACCATTTTTACTCTTTTGGTTTAATCCCTACTACTTTATCTCTTTCTTTATATGATATGTTTCTCTCATCCAACAATTCAAATAAATGCAACTAAACGATACCATCAAAATTGACATGACATCTTACAATTAACTATCCATTTCACACTTCAAACTACTATTTCATATTTCTCTACCAAACTATCAACAAAATATTGATTCGAATTATTACTCTTAATATTAGAACAAGTCAAAGTAGGACACATTTAATGGATTGAAGGAAATTCTTTCTTCACACTTATGCATATGCTTCACATTAATGAGGTATGCACCTGGTCCACCGGAGAATCAAGTGTATGCCTGAATTCCTTGTAGTGCTCTTTAAGATATTCCTCGAGCTTGGGAACATCCTGTCTCCTAAAGATATCCCAGACTGCACCACCATTTTCTTCCTCTGATCCGTCAAACTTGTTTCCAAGAGCAACCACCTGATCAGAAGATAAACTGCCCTCCAATTGCACACTCTGCTCAGAGGGAAAAGAATCACTCGCTTTTTCTTGTTTTGCAGATGCAAAATCACTCTTAGGAACTGGATGATCATCTCTATTGGCACTATACAGTTCTTCTTGAGCGTATTTTTGCTTCAACTTATCAATTTTTGAAAGCTGCCACTTGTCGATAGATACATCAGCAGTATGCATTAAAACATTCACCTGCAACATGAAGAAAAATAGCAAGTTAATTTTTACAATTAAAATAAGACTGGAAAATGGTGTGAAACTATATTAAAAAGGTAATTTTAAGTTCTTCAGATTTACAAAAAAATACCACCAGGTTTAGGAGAAGGAAATCCCTGCATTGAGTTGTCAATGCAAGATTCTGCAGGTCTCCAGTTTTGAAGGTGAATATAGAGCCCACCTTAATAGTTATACTTTTAGGCATAAAAATTGATCTTTCATCTGGGAAACTTATGTCCAGAAAAGTATATTCTTTGTGTTATTGCATGTGAAACAATAGTTCTAGTCCTGAGAACTCCTGTATCTTTTCCATAAGTAGAAGCTTCTCCGAGTTCGCTATACGTTTCTCCAAGTTCAGTAGCTCTTTGTGTAAATCCAGTATTATTATTTTTTATCAGCAAATCCAGTATAATCAATTATGTTCTGGATATAAAGTAGAACCTGATTTTCTTTTTCTTCCTCACCTTCTTCTGTTGCTTTCAAAAATAAAACTTAGGTTTATAGCAACAGGAGATTTAATATGTTTAAAAGTAATTATGCTAGATCAATTGACACTATGTTAAATTAATAACTAAGTTTTGTATAGCCACCCCTCCAGGCCTGTCTTCACTTAAGTGTGTTCCAGCATAAGACTTAAACAGCTTACAATGACATCAAAGGTCAGTAATTAATGTGCTGGAGACCAACTATTCAACTCATAATGCCTACCGCATCAGACATATCACAATGAAGCTTTGTCACAGAATCTCCGCGTCCAAGTTCCTCGGCAAATCCATATGCTATATATGTTTTTGGACCCAGATCTGGCTTCAGTATACCATCTGGGAGTTTGGAAGCAACATTAAGAATACCAGAATGGGGATGTGTGTATTCTTTGTATGGCAAGGCTCTAATGAATTCTGCTCCATGCCGTGGCAACCGCTCCTCGAATTCTGTAGATGGGGGCCAGTCCTTAAGCTTAAGCATTTCGGGCCAGAAAGTTGGGTGCCTTCGACCTTCAACATAACCCTTAAAAAATTGATGAATATTTATATCCACCTGAAAGACATGAAGATAGAGTGAAGCTTATCTTAGTGTCGATTAACTGAAGACACATTTTAATCAGCTAGTTTAGAGCCATGGTGATTCAATCAACCAAGAAGCATGAACTTCCTGAACTAACAATATCATATTTCAACTGAACCTAGCATGAATTCTCTGATGATCTTTTTATAGGCAGACCATGTAGTGGTATAATTTCCCATCTCATCAACAAACATCTCCCTCCCATTTAATGCATCACTACTCATTTGGGACTTGCCAAAGTGTTAGACACTTTATTTTGAAATAACCGGTAGGCCATTAAAAGGCCACTCTGACTGTAGGAATACGTATTTAAACATTTGATGAGATCCTCTTTCTGCTCTTGTTATATAAAATTTCAGAGCATAACAAATTAACTAATGAATCAATTTGGCGCATGATCAATAACACTAGCATCACTGCGTATCAGAAAAGGAAAAAAATGGATAAAGAAGAAGGATTATCTTGCCTCAAGTTTGTACATATCAATTTCAGGCTTGAGTTAGATCACACAACCCCCAGGCTGCGACATCTGAAAGCTACATTGGATTCTCTAAATATCATTGTTTGGCACCAATACGGAAGTTATAGCTAATTGCATCCGAGGAATAAATTATGCAAAACCCATAACATTAATTGATATCACTTATATGAAAGGAAACCTACTGCCAGATGGCAACTGGACATCATAGCAATAACTCATATTCGGAATATATGACTCTTCAAAGACCTGGAAACTAAACGAAAAAAAGGAGCACATGATAGTAACTGGTTACATATCTCTCATATCTCATAGAAAAATGTGCACTTGCATAATATAAATATAATGTTGTAATTCAGGAATTACCTACTCGTTTCGGTTACATCCTGCTTGAACTCTTAAAGTTTTGTAGATTAAAATATGAAGCGCAAGTTCTAACAAAAGATTATGAGTCCAGTAAGACAGGAAATAAAAGAGAAGGGACCATCAAAGATGATGCACCTCACACCAATCAAGACAATCAACTGCTGTCACCACCAAATCTGATGAGCCCTCCTTGATTGCTATGTTACGGAATGCACGCCACATGACCATTGGTTCCCAGCTTAATCCAGACGCAAGTTCAAGAACACTGCTTACAATAACAGGTTCTCCCATTCTCCAATGTGTCTGGAAGTGTTCCAGGTGCCCTTCCTGTATGTCTTTTGCAGAAGGGCAGAACAAATAATTGTCATCAGAACCGGATCTGGAAGCTGCTTTTCTTCTACTTTTAGAGTTACAGGTACAATGTTCTTCAATGGAGCGGGTCTCATTGGCAGATGAATTTGCTTTGACTAAGTTTTCAACCTCCCTCTTTATCTGTTGAATCCGCTTTTCACCAAAGAAACTCTGAAGAACCAGGCGATTATTTCCACAACCACCTCTTTCCTTTGGTGGGCAAGGGATATCACCAGTTTCTGTCGCTTTCCACTCAGGGAGCTTTCTATCTTCTTCTGCACAATCTGCATTATTGGTCAAGAAGGAAGAAATTTTTACAAGGTAAACATGACGCAATTGATTTTCCTCCTAGCAGGTAAGATTTTCATCTATTGTGAAACTGAACAAATACCACTACCTCACCTCTAAGAAAACAACCTTCTCGAATTTCCTGACAGCAGGCCAGACAGAGATCATAAGAACAAATCGAACAATTTCTATGGAGATCAACAATGGAGGTGTTGCAATTGTTACTGCGATGAAACATAGCATATTGAGGGAATGGGGACGACAAACCAGGACAAAGGGAGAAATAGTGCAAGTCAAAGAAAGGGACATACCAGTAAACGCGCTCATCCTCATAACAGGTAGCTTTTGGTATCGTCACCCGTGACAGTGACAATCCTGCACCATAGCCACCACTTTAAATGAGATAATCGATAAATACTTTGTCAATACACAAAGATTCACCAGGAAATAGCAGCAGAATAACGACAAAAAATCACCACATCACAGGAAGTTTCCCACCTAGAAAAATGACCAAAGTTTCTTCAAGTAATAATATCTTGTAAATCCACCCCCCACTTAAGCGCTCATGGAAACGGGATTAAAGTTTTGTATCAAGCTGACAAAGATATATAAATGGAAAGAAATAATATTTCAAGTGAAGTTGCACTATGTTGTAGTTATTACAAAGAAACGTATCTCAGGCATTGCTAAGTTACTGCACCCCATTCGAAAGGCTTCCCAACTATTTGGTAATAAGTCAGACTTCTTAGAAAGGTAATAAGATTTAGTAACTTGAATTCAAATTACTGCCCTATGAACTTTGGTCTGGCCTCTAAGCTTTCTTCAAGCTTCCAATGCTTTCACCAATAAGCATGGTAGCAGAAAACTTGTGCAAACTAGTCAACCCAAGAAGGACCAAATAATACCTCAGAATAAAGACCATGTGGACAAATAGCAGGAGACCATGAAAAAGAATGGTATGCATGATACCTTTTATCTTTGCCTCCATCTCCTTTTCTATGGTTTGATCACGGATAAATGCTCTCAAAAATGGATGAAGTGCATTCACAAGATACTTCAAGCATATAATTTTTTCGTTGTTTTCCAGTGGTATTCCTAAATATTTTGGATCCTGTAGTGTAAGGAGCAGATAATGCATCAACATGCCGCATCACAAGCCCGGAGGTCTGTAGCAGAAAGTGGAATGAAGAAACACATATGTGGCGAAATCTAACCTTAGGGACAATATTTTTGCGTAAACAATCTTTGCAATTGCAGTTCTCACGACAAAATGGGCATTGCTCAGCAATTGCTTCCTCTGACAGATGAGGGTACCTACATTGATGATTTGAAGAGAAAAATGTTTGCAAATAGATCACGTACATATATTGATGATTTGAAGAGAAAAATGTTTGCAAATAGATCACCTACCAACAAAATAAAAATATATGTATATGTGCGTGTGTGCATGTTTGAAATAGCCAACAGATTCTACGTTCAGATGGGCGCTTGTTCAGCAGTATTTTTGTTATTTAATTACAGTTTCAAACTATAAGAGGCCCCTGATTATCTTTACTAAGTTAAATCAATAAATTCATAATGTAGTCAACGGAAAAAGAGAAAAAAAGACATTTGCAATGTCCAGGAAGCATGAATAGCAGTTGTTAACAAGTCTGATACATCTTTCAAGCTAGTCAGTAGGAGGAGGATTCATGAATAGGTTACTCCAATATCACCCTGTGGAGAAAAGAGAATTAATTGGCATTCTACTAAGAAGTTCTCCAAAAGTATCCCCTCAGTAAACACTAAAATATCCGGTGACTGAGCAGCTGAGCCAGTTAGACCATTCAGCTGGGCAAGATATCGCTATTGTGGATCAACCTCCACTTGATCTAGCTCTGTGCTTTACCAAACATCTGAGAGACACAGCCATGTAAAAGATAAGATGGCATTGCCTTAGATTAAACCCTCCATCCCATCCCATAACACTAATGCTGTCATGGATATAATATGGTTACGTTGTCCATAAAAAACATTACTTAGAATGAAGTACATCCACAAACCAGAATGACACCAACTAAATGACTGCAGAAGGAACAACATCAAGAACTAATCTATCTAATCATTCAGAAACACAAAGCAGACAAAAATATTGTAATTTTCCATGTGTAACTTAGGCATTTGATAAGGGAGTTGTTATCAAGTATTCTTATTCCATGTGAACTTCCCAACCAAAGCACAGATGCGCACTAGTAAAAATACAGAACATAAGCCACTAAAATGGATTCCTCTCCGCTATCAATCTACAAGTACGCTGTTCAGTAGAAATATGAGACGCCGCCAAAAAAGAAGCTTAGATACCCTAGAACAATACTCTTTAACGTAAAAAACAGAATTTCAGTAGCCAAGAATAGTGAGAAACTCTCAAAGTTAAAATCAACAAACCATTACCATCTCTGAATACAAGGGCTACAATAGCGTTTGAGGCATCCCTTTCGACACCTAACAACCTTTCGATCACTTTTCATGCACTGATGGCACATCTGGCAATCATCATCTGAGTTCTGCTTAGTAAAATGATGTCAAGTTATGGTCAGTAATTACAGCTTACAACAGAAAGATTAAGTCCGGAGTAGAGCAAATGAACTCACATCAGGATCAAAATGCCTCCTCCTTTTGTCGACCTTCTTGTTTTTACCCTTATTATTTTTTACGCCCTTTGGATCTTCACAGTAATCCTGCTCATCATCATTCTGCTTTTTCAAAGAAACTTCCACTCTTTTCTTCTCTGGTAATTTTCCATTGTTTCTCCCAAGTAAAGATGCAGTTTTAACACCTTTTGCAAGAGATTCCAGTGATTTAGCTGAATGCTTCCTCTTTAAATTACAAAAGTTACCATCTTTCTCCTCCTCGGCACTTGGAATATCCTCTCTATTCCCCTTCAACCTCGTTTTCCTTAAATCATATTCAATCCCTTTTTTAACCACTCCACAAACCTTCTCACCTTCAGGTTTATTCTCATAGCTATCCCTCTCAACATTCCCACGTTCTTCTTCCTCTTGTGAAATCCCTTTCATTCTATCCTTTTCTTTCGAAGAAGATTCAGTTGTGACACACTTTCCAGCAGATTTGATCAAATTGGAACAATCTTTCTTCTCTGATTCATTGGCACTGACATTCTTTTCCTCTTTCCTACCCGAAAATCCCTCATTAAACAACAGACCTTCCTTCTTTTCACCCTTACCCCCTATTTTTATCTGATCATCTAAACTATCCTTATTTTCAACTTTCACACTACTATCTTTCATCATCCTCAACGATGTAGCAACTTCATTCTCCTCGTAACCTTCTTCATTTCTCCCTATTTTCGTCTCACATAAAGGAGATTTCTTCACAGGCTTTACATTCTCTGGTTCTTCACTTAAACCATGCGTCTCACCCTCACCAGAATCACTCGTATCGCTGTCCCTTATTAGATTGCGTCTTACCCGCGGTTTCTTCTGCGGTTTCACTACGGTTGACGACTCATCTTCTTCTCTCTTTCTCGCCCTCTTGACTGCTGAAACCCTTCCGGAAGAGATTTTCTCGCGGCGTAAATGTTCTATACGTGGTTTAAGAAAATGCTTCTGGCACAGGGATTTACCTTGGATCCTATAGCCGTTGCACCTCCATTTCTTGCCGTCTGACCTTCTGCAACGGAGATCCTCCGGCGGCTTTAACCCTAGCTCCATAATCGTTTCGTCGTTCCACCACTCGTCCTCCTCTTTCCCCGGCCTCATTCGGACGTGTTGATCGTACTGGTTAATGTTTGGGTTGTGTACGGTTTTGTTGAAAATGAGTTTTTAGAGGGAAAGTGAAAGGATAGAGAGGAAAGGATTTCATATTTTGTCTTGATTTTCGTGTGTAGTACTATGTAGAGCATTAATCAGTGCTGAGAAATACATTCTGGAAAGGAAGTTCCAGAATTGGGATCAACACAAAAGTTCCTTCTCAAATGAAAGTTTCGGCATGACATGAATAGTTTATTGTAATTTTCCATGCTAAAATCGTGATCACTATCCATACTTGATAAAAATAATACTACTACTTTACTATCTCATTTTGTGTGAAAGTGTTATTGAGTATTATAAAGTTTTAAAAAATAAATGGTGACTTTTGAATTAAAATCAATTATATATAAAGTATCAAAATTATTTTTTAAAATGAGTAGCGTTGAAAATAAGGTTAATTGTTGGCACAAAAGAAAAAAATATTAGTCTTTTTGAAATAGATAAGAAAAAGTAAAAGCATGTCATATACAATGTTTTAAAAGGCGGGGGCGTGGGGCGAGGCGTTTTACCTCTGACGAGGCGAGACGTAAGTCCTGAGACATGGGGCGTAAGTCCCACGGATCTTTAAATTTTACTAATTTCAAGAATATTAAGATAGTATAAAATAAAAAATAATTATAAAAATTACATTAAAATCATAAAATTATAATAAATAATTTATTTAAAATATTTATAAATTATAATTCAACTATGAGTAATACGAAAAGTATGACATATATCATAATATGCAAATTAGGTGCAACGTTGTTACAACTCAAACATCAAAAGTTATGTATTCGATGCGAAATCTTATATGTCTCTTAAGGAGTAATGAATCTTGAAAGAATTTCGATATTATAATTTGATATTTTTTTAAACATACTTCTTTTATTTAAAATGCTTTTCTATTTGAAAGAGAATTTATATAAAAATATAATTCATAATTTAAATATGATTCTCTAGCATCATTTATTTTTGAGTTTCAACAAGTTAATAAGTGAAACATAATTCACCATACTATACCATGATACCTAATTATTTGTAAATAGTTACTAGCTAATACTGAGCTATTAAATTAATAAGTATTGTATCTCGTAAACGTGAAAAAAATAATATTTAGAAAAATAATTTAAAAAAAAATTATGGACTATTATGTAATAAAGACATAACAAAAGTTAATAAATAAATACTTTTAAATAAAAGATTTATTTAAAATTNAAAGCTAATAAATAAATACTTTTGAAATGAAAGATTTATTTAAAATTTACTATCATAGCAGGTTTAGTGGATAACAAGCAATAATTTTTATTTTAATTATGACATAAAATATTCTCAACTTAATGATTTATGATTAAGAAAAAAGTAATTTGAATAGTCAACGATTTATTAAAAAATTTTGAGGATTTACAAGGTTAGTCGCAAACAATTACATAAAGTTCTATTAGGCGAGCCAAGTACGCCGGGCGTTGGGCGTGTCCGGGGAGTAAGCCCCGGCGGCCGAGGCGTAAGTCTCACAGAACTAAGCCCCACACATAAGTCCAGGGGCGTTTTACGAGTGCTCCGTCCCAGGACGAGCCCCGGGCGAGTCCCAATTCTGCCTTTTAAAATAGAGGTCATATAAAATGACACCAATGAGTGATTTTAAATAAGGTTTTCTTTTCTTTCCTTTTCAGGAACTAAAAAAATTGCAAGAGTAGGTTTCTATTGATATTTACGCTATTGTTCATAAAAAACATTTTATCAAATTAATTCAACCATATAGTAATCAATATTTTCAAGAATAAAATGTTATCGAGAAATAAACCAGAGTTAAACTTATACTTACCTCTAAAGAGTTAGAAATTGTTTTCAAACGTTAATAAATAAATACAAATTTCATACGTTGAACAACTAAAATACTTATGTATCCAAGCTACTANACATTTTTTAAACTCTTTGAGCCTAAGAAAAATATAAATTTGTTTTGTACAGAACATGTTACAAAAATTCCTAGAGGGAAAAGGGCCAAATTTTCTCTTTTACTATGTGAAAAAAATTATTTATCATTTATTCTTCTTTAGTACTAACCCCCCCCCCCCACCCCCCACACACACACAAAAGATTACACAAATAACTTAAATAGTCCTCTTCTTCGTTAAGCCTGCCAATGACCGATACTGTGATGAGGTGAACACCGCACGACTGAAGTTTTACCCCCTAACACATTTTACTCCCATCCACTCTACTTCTTGAACCGATCGACTCGACTGATATGATAGATGGAATGGGAGTTTGTGTTCTATTTAGTTAGGACCTTGTCTCCCTTTCGTTATCTTCCGCTCTGGTATCTCCTCCCTGTTCACCCAATCAATATAACTTAAGTGCCTCGCGAATAATTTCATTACCTTCCTGAGCAAGATCACGTCCTTCATTACGAGCTTGTACACATACTTCTAGAGCTACTCGATTAACTACGGCACCTAGCGCATTACCCCAAGAATGCCCTAAAGTTCCTCCATCGAACTGAACATGTTTCCTAGTTCATGAAATTGACACCAAAAACTAAAAAGAACATGCAGGTAACTATTGAGTAAAATGCACAATAGGATTAGTTTTAGTTTTTAAAAATGTCAAAGATAGTACATCTTTATTTCTACTCATTTCCGATAACTTAATATGCACCGGCTAATATAAACCATCAAGCATTAACGCATTTTTCTTGAAAACCAATTAAAGGGTGATTTTCCTGTTTTGGAATGAAAAAGTCACAATATTTGTAGAAAATAATAAAATGGACTTGATCTGAGGTAGTTGGAAATGTTATGTCGAGGAAGAGGCAAACCCAAAAATAAAGAAAATAAAGAACACCAAATTTTAATGTGGAAACCCCTTCAAATAGAAGGTAAAAATCACGGATCACAAGAATCCAAAAGGCTCCACTATAACAATAAGAGGTTACCAAAGTTCTCTAAATTGGCTATACAATAAGTGTCAAACACGGAGCAACAATAGTAACAAATCAAATGAAGAAAGAGGAGAAGTCACAAAATGAAGTTGTTGTTCAGGGATTAAAATCGTATTCTACAGGCCTCCAAATCCGATATCCACTGTTTAAATCAAAGATAAAGATGTTTCGAACACTCAGTCGAAATTTCAGCTCGATCCAATAGTTAATGAATCGGAAAACGTGATTTGAAGCTAGCTGATCGGAAAAAAATCTACAGCAAAACAAATATGTTTTCTTCTCTCTTCTCTCTTGAGGAAAGCTCTTTTAAAAGCCAATATTATGTGCTAAAGTCTTTCAAAGACTTATACCAATGAGCGTAGAATAATTCTCCTAGGTTGCTATATTTATAGATAATAAGTGGTGCTTTCTATTAAAGCAAAAACCAACTCTAAATAGGAACAAAAATCGAATTCAATTCCCGAATAAGAATGAAAATCAAAAGATAATAGGATTAGGTCATTGGGCCTTTGGCTGGACAACATGGGCATGGGCCCAACAAACTCCTCATCCAGCCAAGGGGCCAAATAAGTCTTCAGGTAGAGGAACTATTGACAGGCCTTATGCCTGCCAATTTTCTACAAAACTCATGCTTATCTGCAACCACCGCTTTTGTTAGTATATCCGAAGGATTGTCATCAGTTTGTATCTTCTCAACCTCAAATAATTTCTCTTCCACGGCCGTTCTTATCCAATGATTCTTTCTATTTATATGTTTGGTCTTAGAATGAAAAGTTGAGTATTTGGTGAGACAGATAGCAATCTGGTTATCATAAAATACGATGTACCTTGGTTGCTCAAAGCCAAGATCATTAATAAACTCATTCATCCATAATAGTTCTTTGGCACCTTTTGTGGCAGCAATACATTTGGCTTCTGTGATAGATAGAGCCATACACTTATATAGTCCAGATTGCCAAGAAAAAGTTCCTCCTGCAAATGTGATCAAATAACCAGAAGTGGATCTTAAATTATCAAGATTGTCTCCTAAATCAGTGTTTGTGTAACAAACAAGTACAGGCTTGCCATTGCCAAAAGACAGCTTCAGATTTGCAATACCTTTCAGATACCTTAATATCCATTTTACTACATCACAATGTTCCTTTCTAGGATTATAAAGGAATCTACTAACAGTACCAGCAGCATGTGTAATATCTGGTCTAGTGAAAACCATAACATACATCTAACTACCAACATAAAAAGTAAGGAATACGAGACATCTCTTTTTTCTCTTCATCGGTAGATGGGCTCTAGCTAATACTCAATTTGAATTGTTTAGCGAGAGGAGTACTAACCACTTTTGCATCTGTCATATTGAACCTCTTGGGTACCTTCTCAATGTATGCTTTTGGGACAAAAATAACTCCTTTTATCTCTGTGTCGACAGATTTGAATGCCTAAGTTTTTCTTTGCTGGCACCAAGTCCACAATTTGCTCAACTACTTCTTACGGACTGCAATTCTGGATTTATTCTTGCCAACAATAAGTATATCATCCACATAAAGCAATAAGATAATAAAATCATCATCAGGGAACTTCAGGAAGAATACACAGTGGTTTGAAGAAGTTTTCTTGTATCTTTGTTTTTCTATGACATTCAAACTTCAAATATCATTGCCTTGGAGCTTGTTTAAATACATACATGCTCTTTTTCAATTTGCAGACATAATTTTCTTTTTCTTAGTTACAAAACCTTCAGGTTGATCCATATAAATCTCCTCATCTAAATAATCATGGAGAAAAGTAATCCTTACATCCATATGCTCAGCCTCTAAATCTAAACTAGCGGCTAAGCCAAGACCTACACGAATAGAGACATCTTCACAACATGAGAGAAAATTTTATCAAAGTCAACTCCTTTCTTCTAGCTAAAACCTTTAGCAACTAATCTCACCTTGTACCTTGGCATAGAGATATAGTTATCTTGTCGTACTCTGAATATCTATTTGTTTGATAAAGCTTTTACCTTTCGGCAATTTTACTAACTCATGTGTGCCATTCTCATGGAGTGACTTCATCTCATCTTTCATGGCTTTTATTCCACTGATCTTTGTGAGTATCTTGCATGGCTTCATCATAACTCCCAATTTCTCCCATACCAGTTAAAAGTACATGCTCATCATGAGGATAAGGCATGGATTTTTGCTTCTCCCTTGTAGATCTTCTAAGAGAGATTTCAGTAGCATTTAAAGTAGTTACTTGAGTAGGA